AACAATGAATAAGGCAGTTAAATAGGAAAACTAAACAATATTAAAAATTAGAATATTAAAATTTTAGTTGCTATTTTTCACAATCATAATCTTAATAATAAGTCATTATGTATTAACTAGAAATCACGGTCCTTAATCAAATTCTTCTCAACTACTAGGAAAAGTGATGAAAATTCAGTCAATCATTTAGCACTACATAGTAAGCTTTTACTTCCACAGAGAAAGCATTCACTTGGCTAATAAATGACAGGTGACGGTCCAGAAAAAGATCTGTGCAGAGTGGGAGCTTAACTCTGTCTTCCATTTCCGTCAGCATGCCCCAGATTAGATGGCTGAACTTAGTTTCCCCGTGTGTAAAACTAGGAAAATGATAACCTCCTAACAAGTTAGTTTAAGCTGAGAGGAGATGTCATATGTGGAAATCAAGTTAATATTTCAAGAGATGAAGTCAAGCGGGGCAATCGAATATTAAATGCAATGCTTAATTAAGCTCTGATTTTTTTTTTTTTAAGTGAATTCAACTTTCTCTGAAAGGACTGCTAACTTGGTTTTAGTTAGCAAGTTTCAGATGGATGGATACCTAGTATTGCTACAAAGAGCCTTCATTAAATACTTGTCAAACCAGCATCTCTCCTGGCTTTCTTTTCTTCCTATTAACTAGAGTTTTTGAAAGATACACAATTTCAGATCCTTGTCTCTTTCCTGCCTTACTTCTGAGAATAGTACAGTGTATTGGTCAATTTCAACCACCATACATCTAAGGAAAAAATATTTTATGTATAAATTCTATATTTAAATTTCCTTTAATAATTTAGTGATCCCTGAGCAAGGAACTATGCAAGTACTTTGTATACATTACCATTAATCACAACTACTCTACAAAGTATTATCTGCTATACATGAGGCTTAGAGGTATTATTATAAATAAATTGTGCAGGCTTACAGATTGAAATTCAGCTCTGGCCATGAAGATCTCATTTTTCCCATCATACCACGCTTTGTATTTAAAGGTATATGTCAGTACTCAAGTTTGCTTTTTATCCTACCTGAGGATCCCAAATAGTATTTCAATCTCAATTGGAGGAGTAGCAATTTACTAACACGAGCAGATTTATATACTAGTACATCATATACCATGAGCAGAGTTATATACATATACAATTTCAGTAATAATATTACTGGAATTTATAATAAATCCTATTGTTTAAATTGCAAACTGATTCCTAGAAGCTATCTAAATGTTCTCACTTTGAAAATAAAAATTGGAAACTATATCCAGATAAAACAACACAAATCAACCACAATGTAAAATTGAAAATCTTTCTAATAATGCAGGATTTTATGAGTTTAATATTATGAGCAATATTGGAGAATTACTCCAAAAAAGATCCAGTAGGCACTTCAACCAGAACATATGACCTCAAAAGATTAAAAGAAGCCACTAGGAAAGTTAATAAAACCCTTGAACACTTTTTGTAAAGGTATATCATATATGATCCACTGAGAAATTCAACCATGAAGTAGAAGATGACATTTTGCACTACCAAATAATTCTGTGGTAAAAATTACACACACTAAAAGTCCCAAAATTTGATTTACCCTCACTTCATTCTAAGAACAACCTACAGCTGTGATTACACCGTTTCATTAAGAACAAACTAAAAATTGCCCTACCCGGTTTGGCTCAGTGGATAGAGCATTGGCCTGTGGACTGAAAGGTCCCAGGTTCTATTCCGGTCAAGGGCATGTACCTTGGTTGCAGGCACATCCCAGTAGGAGGTGTGCAGGAGGCAGCTGATAGATATTTCTCTCTCATCGATATTTCTAACTCTCTTCCCTCTCCCTTCCACTCTGTAAATAAAATAAAATAAAATATATATTCAAAATAAACTAAAATTTGTTTTTATAGCTATTGGTTTTATCTACACTAATAAAAGAGTAAGATGCAAATTGACTGTACATTCACAACACCCACCAGCCAATCAGGAGTATGCATATTAAGACAACAAAGATGGCGGGTTAATTTGCATATGCAGGCACTGGGTGGCTGGGGGCAGGACAGGACGCTTACATCGTTATCATGGCAACAACACAGGCATTCTGCACCGCCCCAGCTCCTCCAGGCAGCGTGGGAAGGCAGAAAGGCAGGCGGCTCCAGCCTAAGCGAAGGTGGTGCGGGCAGCCAGGGGAAGGAAGACCCATTCTTGCAAGAATCTTCATGCATGGGCCTCTAGTTTCAACATAAAAGTCTTTATCAAATCCTTTATTAGCTATGAAATGAGTTTGCTTCAAGTAGTCTTTTCTTCCCTACATTAAGTGTCTTTACATAGAAAATGCTTCAATACATTACATAAAGGTAAAAACTACCTGTGGTTGTTAGTTGATTCTAGGGATAATCAAACTTCTCTGAGGTAGCAAACAGTGAAGTTACCACACATGCCTCATTTTTAAGTTAATTCAATTCACCAATATCCTAAATTACTTAATATAGCTTTCAATACTTCCTTTACGCCTATTGATTCTATTTCCAGCTTTATTATTAAGAGAACAAAAAAATATATATATATACAATAAAAAATAATTCTAACCTCCCACTTCCAATCTCAAACTGTAATTTTCCCTGCACAGGAAAATTCATATATGTAGCAAATTCCACTTTCTCTAAGGTAAAGCTTAAAAAAATACATTCTCTCTAAGCATGTATTTACACATATTTTGAGCCAATGGGTCTCCCTACCTGCAGAGACTTGAACAATCTTCAGTTGTGAAGGATGTCACAGTAAGGACTCTACTTATACAAAATCTGTATTTCAGATAAATTTTGATAAGCATGGTTATTTTAAATTACTAGAATGTAGCCAAGACTTACACAAATGAACGCCTAAAATTAGATTACACATTGGTTCAATGCATAACATGCTATGGTGTAAATTTTACTTCTTGTTGGCATCCAAACATTACAAGACATAGGCACCAGGCCTTGCTCAGAATCCAATTTTCTACTATGGAAACTAAATAGAAAGCATTGTTCTGTACCTCTAGAAACTTGAAAAGCTTAATATTCCAGAAGGGAGGGGGACTCAAAGCAAATTACTAATACAAAAAAAGAATGAACTTCATTAATAGGTAAACTAGTTTGTTATATTAATACTTCTATAACTTTATACACCTGTTGTACACTCTCCAAAATAAATGCTGAGTAAATGGCCAATAGTACAGATAAACAAGGTAATGCCTCTATTCATATCACTGACCAGAATAATCTAAATTATATTAGATTAAAAATACACAAATAAGTGTATATAACAAAGAACAGTTATAATTCCTCTCATTTTTACAGAAAGTCAGAATTTTAGCAAATCTAACTAGTATAGTCTGAGAGTAGAAATTCCTAAATCTACCTCACTGTCAAACTCTTTAATAATAGAGGTGCAGGGATATCATTCATATTTGATATTTTTTAAGCTTACAGGTACTCTGAGCTCTTTAAGTACAATGCTACAAAGTACAATATGGTGATGATAGAGTATTTAAGAAGAGACCATAGTATTTCAGTGTCTATCAACACCTTACATAAATGCTGATGAGGTGATTGGATTAAATGTGAAAGCCATTAAGCAGATTTAAATAGAGATATTTACACATTTTATAATGCCCACCCTCCCCCATACAGACACACACCAGGTAACATAAGTCAGCATTACCCATGATAACGCAGGGAAATAAAATGTGGTCTCAGAATACTGCCCCATAGATGCAAAGAGAAGTACTGGCTAAATTAAACGTAATAACATCCTTTAGCCTAAATTCTAACAAGAGATGGAATTAACTCAATAAATAAAAAGGTGATGTAGGGAATACATACAGACCAGAATAAGAATTCTATTCACTGCTTAAATATGTTTCCTACATTCAAGCATGTAATCCAATCCCCAAGGACGAAGAGAAATTATACTCCTGGTCCATAGGGTTCCTACTGGGCTTAACCTTTTGACAACTAGCACCTCCCTTCTTTTATAGCTTGTGGAATAGACTACTGCCTCTTTTATTGTAGAGTGAAGATCACACAAAAAAGAAATATATACCATGTTCGGTAAGATGCCAGAACTATTAATGAATAAACTATAAAAACATGTATCATTAGCTTTTATCTTCAGTTGTTCAAGTATAAATATAAACAATGGCCCTGTGCCACAAGCTATGTGGTCCTAAACAAATAATCTCTTTAGCTTTCTTGAGTTCCTTACCTATGAAATGAGAAAGTTAGAGGGGGAAAAAAATGATCAAATGATTTGTCTGCAGGTAATCTAAAACTCCTGGACTTATAAAAGTTGCTTAAGTTACTTAACTGTTTGTTCCCTTAAGAGGGGGTAAAACAGGGAATCGCTTTCCTTATTTCTCCTACTTGAAAAAACTTTTTTTTTTTTTTAATTATCCAAGAATGTATGTATAGAGTTCAAGGCCAGGAGTAAACCTGGCTGAATATCAGAGCTCTCAGCCTCTTGCTTGATGGAGAAGCCGTGAAGAGTCAAAAAGGAGACCTAGTGTTGAAGCCACTGTTCCTGCCTTCAAGGAATTTGCAGGCTAGAAAAAGAGCCAAGATATACATATAAATAACTCTCATAAAAGCTACACCCCAGCCTGCTGGCGTGACTCAGTAGGTTGCGCACTGACTGGACCTATGAACCAGGAGGTCACAGTTCAATTCCCGGTCAGGGCACGTGCCCAGGTTGTGGGCTCAATCCCCAGCATGGATTTGAGAGGATCAGTGAACACCTCAGGCAGGACTGGGCTGTTGAGAAGTACAACTCAGGCAAAATAAAATGGGGCTAAAGGGCATCCTACACAGAAGGGGGAGGGGGGGAACACAAGCAAATGCAAAGAACAGGCATGTTTAGGGAACAAGTCCTTCAGTGTGGATGGAGACAAAATAATGGGATATGGGATTATAAAGGTTGGGACTAGACCAAGCATGTCAAACTCGCAGCCCATGTCTCGTCTATTTGGCCCATGTTAGCCTTTGAGTTTGACATGCCTGGACTAGAACATGGAATGCCTTATAAAAGTTCAAGGTAGATTGTATAAGCTTTAATTGAAAAGTAAAGAAAGTCCTTTAAGTGCTACAATTAGAGGAACACTCTTGGAACATTAACTACGTTATGACGTGGGATTTAGTGGAAAAACTAGTTGGGAGTCCTCATGAAAAAATAGAGTACCCAGACCAGTGCTCTCACTGCTTATCCATATAGGAAAAAACATGTGCAAATTTACTTTTTAAATGCAAACCTGATTATCATCAAGTAATACACTTAAAAACTGACAAAACAGCTCTCTCGGAAAGAGTTAAGATCATCAGAAAGGCATAGTTATCGTAGTATTTAATCTTGGCCAGGGTTTCAGGACAGACGCTCCATTAGATTGCTCAAAATAATTTGTACAGTCTTGCTGGAGGGTAGTTTTGCAACAAATGCCTAAGTATTATAACCCAGCAATTTAGAAATCATGGATAAAAACCAAGATTTAGATTCAATTATACTCATTTTTGTATAGTTCACACTTGCCCCAAACTTCAGGAATAACATGAATATTTAACTGTATGGGATTAGTAGTACACACTTAGAATACTACAGCATTAAAACAATGTGGAATATCTTTTAAATGAAAGGAATTTCCCCCAGTTATGGGGGGGTTGGGGAGGGATGATGAATACAGAACAAAATGTACCATATTGCCCTCCCAACTCTGACTGAAACTTCATGTTGCCCTTTGGGCACTGTAAAAAAATAGATACCAAAACCACTCTGTGTGAAGAGATGAATGCCTAAACAATGGGCTTCAAGTTTAGATTGGGAAGTAGAGGGTTTTTCTCTAATCAACAGGTCTCTCAATTGGTTAACATCAAAGTTCCCTTCTCTGGCATTTCTTTTTGGGGTAGGGGGCATTCCCAGGGGGTAGGAAGGCATTTATTTCAAGCAGCAAGACCCTGCTCCTCTATCTGAATGTCGGTGTATGTGTACAACTGTACCCACATAGTCAGTGACCTTAAGCTTTAGAAGAAATGGGAAGTGGCTTATCAAAAGCAAAAACCAAGGAGCCCAACAACCACCTGTGCAGGGACGTATGTTCCAGAAATGGTTCAAAGCTACCATATCTTAAGGTACAAACTGAATTCTAATCCTAGAAACATTTCTATCCCCACCCTACAGAAACTTCCCTCAAAGGTCATACCTATAGCACGTTAAATGCCAAATTCAAAAAATACTACTATTAATGGACAGCGGTGCACATATTCCTGAAATTCCACAGAGTCCGCACCATTTCTCAGTCTCCACGTTAAACAGTTTCTCAGTATTTAACTGCTCATTCCTTCTTAGAAATCCTCTCCCCCTTACCACGCTTCTGCTTCTTTCACTGCCCTGACAACTTCCCGATCTCTCCCGGTGCTTCACCTCCCCACAATGGTGGTTTTAGGTTTTCCTTCACTCATCTTCAGTTCTCTCTGTGCAAACACAGCAGTCCAGTCTTATCCATGTTGCATGGAAATATTAAATGGAAAAATCCAAAACAGAAGCAGTAAGTTTAAAACTGAACCCCATTCTGAGTAGTGTGATGAAACCTCATGCTGTTCCACTCCCACCTGCTCAGGGCAGGAATCACCCCTTTGTCCAGCGTATCCATGCTGCATATGCCTCCAGCCCTTCAGTCACTTTAGCCGTCCTACTTACCAGATCAACTGTGGATTCTTAGTTCAAGTAACCCTCCTATTACTTAATAATGACCCCCAGAGTATAAGAGTAGTGGTGCTGGCAATGCAGATGGGCCAAAGAGAGGCCGTAAAGTGCTTCCTTTAAGTGAAAAAGTAAAACATCCTCAACTTAATAAGAAAAAACATCATATGCTGAGATTGCTAAGATCAATAAGACTGAATCTTCTGTCTGTGAAATTATGGGAAAACTAAATTTGGGCTAGTTTTGCTGTCACATCTCACATGCAAAAGTTATGACCACAGTGTGTGGTAAGTGCTCAGTTATGATAGAAAAGGCATTGCATTTCTGTGGAAGACATGGAGAGCACACGTGTTCCGACCGACAGCAATGTGTTGTGTGCCAGAAAGCACTGAGCCTATACAAGGACTTCAGCAAGAGACCCCCTAAAACGAGTGACCATATTTACATAACTTTCATTACTGTATATTGTTTTAATTGTTTTATACTGTTAGATACTGCTGTTAATCTCCTACTGTGCCTAATTTATAAGTAAAACTTTACCATAGGTATGTATAGGGAAAAACATAGTACTCCATAGGCTTGGTACTATCCTCAGCTTCAGGCACCCATGGGGTCTTGGCATGTATTCCCACAGATAAATGGTACTGCTATCCTCACTTGTCTCACTTTGTATTCAATTCCCAATAATTCTTTTATCGTTAAATCTGTCATTTCTCTGAGCTTCTCAAGAGCTATTCTATCATCACTTCATATTTGAAGCTTCTAAAACCAAGCTTGGCATTATTCCTACCTACCTGAGTTCTATTTCTACAAATACTAATGCCCTAGCATTGCCAATGTTTTGCTGTGACTGAAATTTCAGTTGCCCTCTGAGCGCCTCCTTCACCCTAGTCCCACAAATCTATGTCAAATGCTAAGTATTCCTTCTTTCTCAAATCTGCCACTTCCCTTTCATTCCTATTTCAAGCCAAGCTCGGGCACTATGTGCCTTAAATCTGGGTACATACAGTCATCCTAACGGTTCTGAGTTCTTCTCCAAGTTATTTCACATAGCACCCCAGACCAGTCTTTCAAACTTACTATATTTTATTACTCTCTACTTTAAAACTCCCAAAGGCTCTTTATTCCCTTTATGGTAAAGACCAAAACACAAAGTCTTCTGCAATCTAGCACACAGCATCTTTATAGACCACAGAACATCAAAACTGGAAGCCTAGAGATCACAGACCTGAGGAAACTAAGACCCCAAGGTCTTACTCTGGCCAACATCAAAACATGCCACCACAGAAACTTAAAAGCCTAGATTGGTGTTTCCTAAATTTGTAATTCATGACTATTACATGAATTACATCAGAATGCATAATGTGAAGATTGCCAGGCCTTTCACCTGTAAATTCTGATGTGGTAGATCTGAGTATGGTCACAGGAATCTGCATTTTTAAGCACCATGTGATTCTTATATTCAGAGAAGTTTGAGGAAACCTGATCTAGATCCTACAAATCTTCTATTTAATCACATTACTCTTATTTTCAACTACTGTCCTATAAATATTCTGTCCTACCCAGAAATTACTATACAGGCTCAGTGAATATCTTATTTAGTGGTTATATCATTCTTCCACACCACCCAAACCCCAAAACTACCCACTCCTTCTTATTTTTAAGCAATTCAAAATCCTGTGACTGTCTTAATCAATGCTTCCCATATAACCTCAATAATCAAGTACAATGTAGATTCCAACTTTTTAAGTATCCTAAGAATAATAGAATATCCAAGGTGAAAAATATGTTAAAAATACAAATTATTAGTATTGGTCTGAGCCTGAAAGATAAAATGTTTTTAAAAATCCAACACAAAAAACAAATGATTTTAAACACTGAAATCAGAGTACTTCTCACTTCTGTTATACCATTATATTTTCATTAGATGACTAGATGTGCTTAAGGGGATGGGGGATTGGACAGTAGAAAAGTAATGGGTCTAAATACATTTTTTAAAATATACCTAGAATCTAGATTAGGTTCTTCCTTCTACTGTCACACACATTTCATAAAACTCAACCCATGTCAGCCTCAGCTTTTCACCAATTCCCATTTAAGTCATAACCTAAAATCTACAACATTAAAATTAACTGCTGATAAAGAAAATACTAAAATATAATTTCACCAATGAATCTGAAATAGGTAAAGTTAGTCTTACCAAGTAAAAAAGCCACAGACAAGGACTAAAAAATATTAGGCCATTATACTTACATACAGAGTGAGGCTCCCTAGAGACATTTGAGTAAATTTGATTTTATATTTAGTGCCTAAAAATTTATGATATAATATGGACTATACTAGAGTCTAATTTTTCCTGTCACAAAATATCCCTAAATTAGTTCAGCAAATAAATAACTTATGATGTTATTAAATGTTCTAAGATTTAAATGATTAATATAGAACCTTATTAGTTGCAGAGTAGGCCCTGATGTGACTTTTCACCCATTTTTAAATCCTGTATTTATTGCATTATCACTACTATATTTCCTTAGCAAAAACTAGTGTATCGATTCACATTTCACTTTGTATTGCTAATAATGTCCAGAATGATGAAAAAAATGTTTTCTTTATTAAATAAATTCACATGTAAAGAAACCATAAAGGTAAAAATCCAAAGCTGTGTTGTTTTCTAATCTTTAAATTGTATCTCAATATGAACGCAATCTTAAACTCACCTTTCCCCCACATTTCCTTATTAAACAGATTTTTGAAAAGAGATTGTGAGGGTTATTATAATTAGTTCCACATATTGCTTTTGGAAACATTATTATTAACCTATCTAGCAATTTTACTGTAGAAGGATATATATTTTTTTAAATTATAAAACTTTAATGTGGCCAGAAAAAAAAACTACGTGTGGACTATTAGGACTACTTAATTGCTTCAATAATTTTTTAAGATAATTTATTATAAGTGGTCAGACACACACAATCTACCACCTTCTTTTTGTGAAAATGGTACACTTAATCATCTACATAATATTTTTTAAATATTCATTACAGTCAACATTTCACCACTTATGGACTTAAATTCTTACACAACGATCCACTGAGATTTGAAAGGATCTAGGCTTTCAAGGGGGAGGAAAGAGGATCAAGATCAATGATTGGTTATTACAAGGACAAAGGTTAGTGACTTAAATATAGACGAGCATGACAAATTATTGTGTATACATATAACGATTTCAAGATACACAAAAATGTAATCTAATTAAAAGGAGGCTGGTAACCATTTTAAATGCTCAATAAGATTCCCAAAGAAGAAAACAGGCTCATCGCAAGCAAACACAATATCTTGCTACCTACAAACCTTCAGATAGGATTTCAACTATACCAATTTAAAAAAAAAACAAAAAAACTTAGTCACAGAGAATACGTCATAATGAAATACAAAAATAGCAATGTAGATCTATCAGACCAAAGTGACCGACAGAGGAAATGTGTTGAAACCATACTGCTTAAAATGTGCAGGATTAAACAGAACCTGATCAAAGACAGGACTGCGAACACTAAATCAAACGCCAGGGAAACAGAACAGCATAGCATGCCTTTTCCCCCATACACAACCAAATGTAAAAAACACAGGTTTCACTTTCAATCCAAAATACATCTACACGGTAAAGTTCATTCATAGCAATATATCACTGATCACATAAATAGAAACGCTGAATAGATTAAAAAGCAGATATACCCTTGTCCTTCCAATTTTTCTTCTGACCGTCCATCTCGTCACGATCTGCCCTCCAGACACAATTATCAATTATGCATACCAACAGGAAAGCTGCAGCTGCAAAAGTCTACCCCTGAGACATGAAATATCCGTTTCCCCAACCGAAGCCTGCAGTCTCCGGCTGCACAACTGCAGCAGGGCTGGAGTCACCTGACGCCTGCTGGGTGTGGAGCAGTCTGACGCAGTGCAATCTGTAACTAGGCTACTAATACTCAGGCACTCCTGCCTTCTTTCTGTGTATTGTTCTGGTCTTTTTGCTTGTTGCTCACACCAAAAGGAGCTACTTTTTTTTTTTTTTTTTTTTTTTTTTTTGCAAGGGGGAGGAGGGGCAGCCTACCAAAAGAAAGAAAAAAGGGCAGTTCTTTCGGCATTTAACCAACGAATATATTTGAAGTACACTTAAGGCATGTACAGTTTTTTTGTTTTGCTTTAAATTATACTGCTGCTTTTCAGTTTCATCTAAAACTCTAAAATAAAAATCAGTGATTTACCTGTTAAGAAAAAAAAAAAAAAAAAGCTAACACAGACTGATTGCAAAGCTTATTCATAAAAACATATGATTTGTCACATAATTTTAATGGCTCAGTAAGATTTCTATTCAGAAGACTGAAAAGCAGACAGGTCCCAGTCCTTCAAACATTTCTTCTGACCATCCACCTAAGTCACGATCTGCCCTCCAGATGCAATGATCAATTTTGCACATCGACAGGAAGGTTGCAATAGCTTTTATCTCGTGGGTAATAGCTTACATTTCAAGCTGGGGAAATGCTAAGTCTCTTTTTACTTTCTCCTAAGATTAAGGCTTAAAGCATTCATCATTTGCACCCTTTGGAGGGTATAAGCAGAGAATCATAAAGTCAAGTTATTTATGTTTATTTAATATATGCTCCTCAATAGAAAAAAAGCTTTTATTCAATTTCAACAATCTTCCTAATGCAATGGTATTTTTTCATTCTTCTCCAATTAAGGAAATTCAGAGAGTTACGAATCTATACTTATTCTGAATTTATCACCCGTTCCAACTCAATCTCTCAATAAATATCTATGAGCTTGAGGAGAAATATTTATGTGCTAACTATATCATTTGCCATGGGGAAATGTTATGAGACCAAAATAAAATTTTACTGATAAATACACAAAAATAAATAAATATATGTACAGAATTTCTAAAATTTTTGTTCAACTTTATAAAACTGTCATTAATTCCAGTGCAGAATATTAGTCTTTACTAAACAGATGCTACTATCTGACTAGGCAGAAGAGGCAATATATATTAACAAAATCAGCTAAAATATTTTAAAATGTCTAATAAAGTATAAGATATGTAGCCTATGTACAAAAATACACAATTCACAGGACTATGCAGTATACTAAAATAGTTACAATGTTTTCTGGAATTTTCTATAAAACTGTGTGGGCTGCAAAACACTCCAAATCCTTACTATCAGAAGAGGCCTGATATGGATGACTCAGTTCTTTCCCATATCTGCCTGACTGCCAACATAAGTAAAGCAAAGCTCTTTTTAAAGAGAACCCAGTATTCTCAGCGTAAGAGTGAAGATTTAACTTTGAACTATTCACTGGACCCTTGAATAATATGATTTTTGAGAACCCCGTCACCAAGTCATAGCATATCTGAAAATAGCCCAAACTATTCAATAAGTACATATTATACCCTAATATTGAGTCTCCTAAAACTGAAGGCCAATAAATGCTTTAGCCTTAGAACATAGCGTTAAAAAATGGCACCCAATAATTTTTTAAAATACATTTTTATTGATTTCAGAGGAAGGGACAGGGAGAGACAGACAGAAACATCAATGATGAGACTCAATCATTGGCTGCCTCCTGCACGCCTCTACAGGGGATCGGGCCCACAACCCAGGCATGTGCTCTTGACCGGAATCGAACCTGCAACTCATCAGCCTGCAGGCTGACACTCCAACCACTGACCCATACCGACTAGGGCACCCAAAGAGTTTTTAAGTCAGAGATTACTACACAAACAGGAGAGGGGGTGGAAAGATTTCTTAAGATACGGGAATTTACCATTCACACCTTCTGGTATTTAACTTGGTTTGACAATTTTAAAAAATAGTCGAGAGGGCAAGAATGTGTAATAATATCCATTCATCTAAACATTAAATATACCTAATAACTCCATGGCATATTAAAAAGGCAAAACAGGAGCCCTGGAAATTCAACCTTGCATAGTGATATCTAATTCTTCAGTTTATATGGGCTTTGCAATTTATTAAGCTTACAGCAAAAACTATTGTAGTTCACATAAATCAACTGACATTCTGCCCATTTCTTAGAAAAGTTTTAAAACTAGAGTTCCTTTAGGTTTGGTAAACTAAGCAAAAACGTGCTTACATTTGAAATTTTGATGAGATAAACAATATGTTAAAATATAAAGTTATGTGGGCTAAGATTATTGTGAGGATCAATTGAATTAGTGTTAGGCAAAATGCCTTATGCAGGTGTCTGACAAAAAGTAGGCCTTATTTAAGTGCTAGCCATTTATGATTAGTATTATGCTAAAAATAACAAACTAAAAGGGACAAGACCCTTAAAACACATCTAAGAAAGCATATATATTAAGCCATCTAATTCTAGGCAATACCCAATACCTTTCAAATCAGAAGTGCCTATACACACAAATTATTCTTTGCTATGTAATTCTATTATTTTGCAGCTGAGAAAATTTTATAATATATGAATAGTTTATAGGTCCTATTTCACATTAAATCCCAACTTCGTAGGCAAATAAAAAACATAAATCTGTTTTTAAAAAATCATCATTTATTTTGTTTGCCTTCAAATATTTAAATAAATAAAAAATTTTTCAATGATAATTTTTAAACAGAGCAGATACATCCCAACAGCATTTTGATTTTGGGACAGGAACCCATTTCCTCTTAAAAGGAGGATTCCAAAGGAGAGGACAACAGAAAAGTGCTTTACCTATAATGCAAGTAAATAAATTCTTAATGTCTAAATTCTAAGTCCTACTGCATATTTTTGGGAAGGGGGAGGGAAGGAGATAGTCTCCTTTTCCTGAAATCAAAATCAAACTTACATAAAACTTTTTAAATAAACTGTTCAAAGTTCATGCCTGGCAACTTCTCTCTCCTCAAAGTCCATATCCTAAGTACTGCCCCCAAGTATGACAAAAACCAGTAAGGAAAACATCCCCAAGCATGCCCTAAAATTTCCTACGTTGTTTCTCTTCTCCTCGTGTCTGGAATCAAAACTCTCATTTTCTTAGTGCACTTACCTCATTAGTAGGAAATGTACATGATTATATTAATCCCTACCTAAAGAATAAAAAAACTCTTCTCTACAACCAGAAAAGGGGGGGAGGGGAAGGAGGGAGGGAGGGAGGGAGGGAGGGAGAGAGGGAGGGAGGGAGGGGGAGGGAGGGAGGGAGAGAGGGAGAGAGAGAGAGAGAGAGAGAGAGAGAGAGAGATTAGAAAGTGTATTTTGGCATAGGCAGCAATACGTAAGCTATAGGTCTGCCCTAGCCAGTTCTCCCAAGATTCTTTCTTTTCCGTGTCTTTCCTTCGGAACCCCAGAAAATTTCATGTTTTGTTTAGCTTTGTTTTCTTAACAATGTTGGCATAAAGGAAATAAAGCGGGAACAAGGCAGGCATTTGGATTGAAAGTACTACTCTAAACTGGGAATTGCTTGTGCACAATTCTTGATAGCTAAAATAGTTGTTTCTACTTCCAGCAACAAAAAACAGCATTCATGTTTTAAATAAACAACTGTAGTTACACAGTAGTTATGAACTTACTTCAAGATTTAATTATCCTGAGTTATGAAACTAAACATATGTCTCGCTACTGAAAGGTATTAAACAGCACTGTTTAATGTGCTGTAATATAATGCCCTCTATGGACTAAATTATAGCACTTCAACACATTAACTACTTAATTGAAACTTAAGATATGGAGAAATACTTTAGTCTAGAAAATAAATGACAATACAAGTTAAAATGGCAAAAAAAAATTAGCATTTTTTAGTCTATAAACAATTTTGCATAAATTGCTAAAAAATGAGTACTAAAAACCATAGGAAGAAATGGAAAAGTATTACTGAATGAGAAAAAAAAAATGTTGACTTCTTGTATTATAATCTAAAATAAATATATAGCTATTCCAAAAAAGATAAGGCATTTTTAATTTGGAATTTAAAAATAGTCTTTAGGCTCTGAAACCTTAAAACCTTTAATTTTCATTAAAGTACACAGGTTTGGGGAAAATTCTTAAGGTCATTTCATAATGCTTGTAATAGCATGATTCAAGCATTTGTTTCATTCAATACAATGTCAAGATTCAAAATCCTGTTATAAAGTCTTTTATTTTTAGTATGAAACAAATACCCACAATTCACTAAATTTCTCTGCCCAACTGATTATAGTCCATGTGGTCAATTACAGAGTATGCCATAGACCTCATTTTCTGTCTACAACACTAGGTGGCACCAACACCCACAGTACAGTTGACTGTCTGACCCAGGGCATGAAATCTGGCAGTGCTGATTTTCTGTGTGTCCCCGTGTTCCCTAGGATTGTTTCCTGGTAGTAGGAAATTAGATCAGAGTATGCTGGGAACAGGAAAATAACTTCACCACCAAAAAGTATGTGGGACAAAATAATCTCTGACCAGAATTCAAAATCAATTTTGAATAGATCAGAATTAAATGTAAAATGAATCTATAAATAAGTAAATAAAGTTACAGATCTCCCTATGTGAACATTTAAAATGTCCCGCAAAATTAAAATTCTTTAGAAAGCTGGGGGAAAACTGTGACATAAGAGTATGCATCCTTTGTATATAAAGAACTCTCAAAATTAAAGGTGAAAATCTAAATTTAAAAATAAGCAAAGGAGCCCTGACCAGTGTGGCTCAGCTGGTTGGAGCATCCTCCTGTGCACTGAAAGGTGGT